TTCACGAATATGAAGTTAAGAGAAATATTTTATGGAAAATATATTCGCTGAAACTGGATTGTCTCGGCAATTATATTTCCTTGATCATTTCCACAAGAAAGAAATTTCACACACTCGGTGAAACATAGAAAATTGTCCTATTTTCTCACTAAAAATATAATTGCCATTTTTCCAATTTCGTTACAAAATCCTCTGACTACATGAAAAGAGAAACGAAAGTCTCGTTTCGGCAATTTTATCCTGTCAGCTGTGTATTCATGAACGTATAGTCAATTTCATACAGCTTGCTAGGAAATGAATCTCATTCTATGTTGAAGTAAACTTGACGTCGTAATAAAGGTTGGAGTTCCTTCACCATCAAAGAGTCCTTGCTGTTTTTCAAAGAATTGTGAAAACATTTAAATCCTTGGTGAAAGTAGAGTATTTTAAGGTATTTCTTGGTCAAAGGGCGAAGTAAATTTCATGTCAGTCAACTATGGGATACAAACTTTTCTAATAATGCTAGCAAATAAATCATTTGAGTGTTGTCAGGTACATGTGCAGATATTCACCCACCATCTTCAGAGAAATTATATTCATTTGTTGCTAATCCAACTGGAGTGTTTGTATTACTGGTCGATAATTAATAGTCGGCGGCTAACAGTTTTACTAAATGGTCTACAACTTTTTAACATATCTTTCTGTTGTATTTCTACATGTTTTACTTCATTTGCCTTTCAGTCACGTTAAGTTTTGGATGAATGTCAGCTCAAGGTCATCTACCGTGCACGTTAAGTTTTGAAAAGAATTACCATATCTATAGTGTCAGTGAAAAACCTCTTTGCCTAATAAGACTTGAGTTTACAGCATAGGGGTTCACTCTGTCCTTCTAGTTGAGCCAGAAACACATCTAGCTGACGAAGTACCCCAGTCGGAGGTATGTTGTTCCTACTAGGATAAGACTATTTTTTTATCAGGAAAGTTTTACTTAGAAGTGTTTGAGACGTGCATGAAATGTAGCACTCACTATCGGTGAACGGGTTGGCAATCTTGATACTGTTTCTATTCTCCGAAACATAACTTCATTCGTAGTCATTTTATGGCAACGGCTTCAATGAGAACGCGTCAATTATCAACTCAACTGTTTATTAATTATGCTAAATGCCAGGCAAAGTCGCATTAGACTGGCAGAAGTAAGGCTGGAGGTGACCGGATCAAGAAATAGTGACATCAGGCCATGAAGTCTCTAGCTGTTCACCGGATTTGTGTAGGGAAGTGCAGAATATCTGGCTGGTAACCTTGACTATTTTCACTAATATGTACCTTTAAATCGTTTCCTCTTCAGGTGAAAGATTTGAAAGAGACTCAGGAGTTAAACCATCTTCACTTTCGTAGCATTGGCCGCCACTTTGTCAATGTAGAGGTTAGGCATAGATTTCCGGGTAAAAGAGTCTAGTCAGTTTATAGTATTGTGAAAGAACAAGATCCAAGTTTTCTACACTAATTCAGTCAGGTGAGTCAGTGCTTCTATGTGACGGTTGAGAGAGTTGGCGCATTACGGAAAGCATTTCCAACAAACTGCAGGCATACATCATATCAACAGCTACCGCCTGCGCTCATTTAATACTGACACTGAAGATCAGATGGCCAGAGAGAATAAGTAACAATGAAGTTAGGTTAGCAACGAACCAACGAAGCAAGCACTCATCGTCCAACAAATATGAAGAGGGATAAAGTGTAGATTGATTGGATTGGACATGCACTGAGAAGACGGTTTGGAGACATCACGTGACAGGTCAGGCCGTCGAATGGAACCCGCATGAGAAACGACGAGTTGGGCATCCGAGGTGTGTGTGACATGGAGGAGATAGTGTGAGGAATAAATGGAAGTTTATGGGGCATGGTGGAGCCAGGTTAAGAAGACGTGAGAGAAGAGAGTGGAATGACCACGTGCTACTGAAGCCATGTGTCTCACTAAGAACCCAAGGGGAAAATAAAATTTTAAAAAATAGGTTTATGACCTTTCTCAGCTGAAGTTGTTGAGAAATGAATTGCACATACCTACTTACCGTATACGCTTATGAGTTACTTTAGCTTCATAAGGTTCAGGGTTTCAAAATGTTAAAAGTGTCCAGACTAAATGTTGGGATCAGTCAAAAGGGTTTCTGATTGCTGATGTGAGCCATATGACTCCATGTACTGGTGTCTCTTTGACAACTGAAGTCGATAACTGGAGTCATAAAGATGCATACAGATCAATTTTTTAACACAATCATTATATCACTTTTCTTCATTTGTTTCGCCTGTATTTATGCGAATTTTAATCATTTCATTTCAATTCCTCTATCTATCATACTTCTTCTTTTGTATCTTGTTATACCAATATGGTATGATGGAACTTGAATTGTTACCCTGTAAGTTCACGTCGATAAAGACTGAATGGACTCTGAAACTGAATTAAGTTTCCAGTATATATCTGACATATGATAATCTAAATTTCAAACTTTACACTGTAGTGGCTTTTTGCCCCAAACTGAACTAACAATCATCAAAAATAAGTAATGAACATCAAGCGTTTAGGTTTTTAACTGAATGAGGAAAGAAAATCTTACTCAATGAAAACTGACTGCACGTAAACAAATAATGACTGGAAATATGTTCAGTTTCCGAGTCGGAGGATATTTATTTTTCAGTTTGGTATTCATCATGGACTGATATCAGTAAGAAGAACATTGGAAACCTGGTAGCATTGGACACTCGTTTCGTTCTAATATAGAACTCCTCAACAATGTGCACCCATGAACCCACCCCACCAGCTATCGAACCCAGGGCCTTCAGGTTCTGTGGCCAGTATATTACTGTTGGGCCACTCAGTTGGAATCAAATACCCATATTTCCTACTTCTTTCATTTCACAACATAGTGTGACGATCATCTAATGCCACCGTTGAGTATCTGTCTTCATGGTCACTATGTTTGCCCCACTGGTCATGACTTCACATCGAAACTTTAGGAAACACCTCTCGAAGCTACTCATCAATGAGCAGTAGATCAATTTTAATCTAGTGGTTTGTGTTAAAGTTGACCTTAATCTGTCAACCAAGGGGTCAGGGCCATACGACACGAAAGCACAGCTTGTTTTATTTCGCTTAAGATACTTTTGAATTTAGTCGACTTGGATATTTAGACGTTTTTTACCTCGACGATAAATAACGCCGGTTGGATTCTGAGATTGAAGATGATTTCGACCAATATTCAGAATGCGCTCTGATTTAAGAATGCCAGCATATATGAAACTGAGGTACAAGAATTTGCTCAAACTAACTCATGAAATACCAAGTGGAACCTCATTGAGTACCTAGAGTTATTTACTGCCTGATTTATACGAATTCAATAACTATAACCATTCGCCTAATTAATTAATTAATATTTGCCACTACCATTGGATCATTGGTCGATGAATGCGGTCAATAATCCCTCTGATTGCAAAACGTTTAGAACGTTGGTACTGATCATTCGTGCATATACAATACAAAACTATTGCTTGAATAATTTTATCTGGAGGTTTGTGGGAATTAATCGACTGATCTTAGGTTGGTTTCATCATGAACTGACATCAATTGGAGAACCTTTGGAAACCTGAGAGCACTGAACAGCTGTTTTAGCTTAGTGTAGGGCCCCTCAGTAATGGGCACCTGTGACTCCACTCGACCAGGGATCAAACCCAGGGCCTTCGGGTTCCGTGGCCAGAATGTCACCACTGAGCCACTGGGTCGGAATCCAGTGGTCCATATTTCCTACTTCTGTCAGTTCACGACATAATGTAACGATCACCTATTGCCATCATTCAGTATCTGTCCTTTTGGCCACTAGGTTTACCTCATTGGTCATGACTTCACATCGAAACTTTAGGAATTACCTCTTGAAGTTATTCTGTATTTCCTATGAAATCTGATAAATTAATTTTCATCAACGTTTTTATCTGAAATGAATTCTTTTCAAAGCGTAGGGATTTTTCTTATTCTTCGCTCAAGATTTACAAAATTTTCTTCGAGAACCTCAGTGAGATTTGATGTTTTTCATCAATGAAATTTTTTGTTTTGTTAGTGATATTCATTTGTAACCTTATTTATTTTGAGATATAGTTATCAGATTATTTATTATTTGCCCCTTGGGTTCCTAATGGAACAGAGGGCTTCAATAGCACATCTCCAGTACACTCTCTTTGCTGCCAATTTTTCAACCTGGTTCCACGACAGCCCACAAGCTCTCATTTCTTCCTCGCACGATCTCCTCCATATCACCCTCAGCTGGGACGCCAAACTCGTCGCTTCCCATCTGGGTTCCACTCGACAACCTGGCCTGGCGTATGATGTCCCCAGTTGGTCTTCTCAATGTATATCAATCCAATCCATCTCCACTTTCTTGTGAATATTTGTTGAGCGATAGCTTCTTGCTTCGTTGGTTTGTCCACAGCCACAGCCACAGTTCCTTGTTGTTTGTTTTTATTATTCTGGCCATCTGAGCTTCAGTAGTGAGCTAGCGTAGGCAGTTGTTGATGAATATTTGTAGTTTGTTTGGAATGGTTTTTGTAACGCGCCAAGTCTCAGAGCCATACAGAAGCACTGACTTGACTGACATTGGTGTTGAAAATCTGGATCTTGTTCCATATAATGAGTGCAGTGCAGAAGATTTCCACACCGGTTTCAGTTTAATGAACGCCTGTCTTGCTGTCTTTCCGATCCGGGCTGTTTTAACGTCCTCGTCTATGCCACGTGTAGTTGAAATAGTGCTGCCTAGATAGGTGTTTGAGATCTAGTTAGCTACTGGTTATCACAATACAACCACTAAGGCAACTGAAGCTGGTAGTTCGAACCCATACGCTAAGATGTTTTATTTTTTTGACTTCCGCTTTTCAATATGTTTTCTCAAAATGTCTCAAGATTAAAAGAAATGGAATATTTCTTACCATGAAAAATATCTTAACATAGAAATTAAATAATCATGAATATACATACTTACAGTTAAATTGTATCATAGTTATTACGTTGAAAATCGGAAGCAATAATGAATTTGTGTTAAATAAATGAGTTTTAGAAATTCCCCAATATGACTAAATATTTATCCCAATGTCAGAATGGACAATGAAACGATGGACATCATTATTAAGTTAATAAATCAACGTTTATAAAGATATTTATATAGTTCCGTTTTTTTTCTCTTGAAAATTTCAAAACATGGGAGCTAACATGAATTATACAAACTCTTCTGGTAATTCCAAGGTAAAAAAAATATGTATTTTTGAACGGTTACAACGAATTGTGATTTAAGTATTTCAGTAATATCGTAGGAATATTAGTACAATAAAAACTAAACACAGAATTCATTTATAAAGTATTCAGATGGTACATTCGTTGAGTGGTAATACTCATATTCATACTAAAAGGAAAAAACATGAAAAATAAGGGGAACATGTGTTCTTTTTAATTGGTCAACAGTTTGTGAATGGAAAACTTCAGAATCGATTGGATATTGTTTTATCCCACTAGAAAAAAATTATATTGGTTAAAAATGAAACAGCCAATCAAATTACTGAAAATTATAAAGATTCCCTTTTCATAGTGATTGATGTGAGCCAATTCGGTTTGTAAAGAATAAAAATTGTTTAAGATAGTAAATGCTTATTCAAATGTCCGCTTACATAGTATGTGAACTAAATGTTAAATCGTACATTATCCATAAAGTTGGTGTATCTGAACAAACATGCAATCTTACTTTAAAATGATAAGGAATCTGATTCGCCACTGAATACCTCATGTATTACTTAACTTCGACATAAATGTCATAATAAACTGAGATCATCTGAAGACAACTATCAAAAACCAGAAGTCACTAGACGACTCGTTACTTGCTTGATTATGAAGCACTGGCTGAGTAGTAACAAGCTAAACTACGAGACATAAAAGTACTCCTCTCAGTCACTCACGTGGTTGTAGATGAATATTACTGGCTTGTACTGAGGGTTTTCAATGTTCCTCCAGTTGATATCAACTAATGTTGAAAAGTTCTTTCCGATTTATGCTTAGAAGCTTTAAATGGCTTAGGAACGGTAACATTTTCAAGCTATTTGTGTTTTCAGAGGTTAAAAATTTGTTTGTAGCCGAAACTCTACAGAAGAAAGATATTTTATAAGTCACATTATCCTCACAAATGGCTTCTTAGTGTTCTAAAAAATATTATCTCTTAGTTACGTCAAAAAAATGCTATTTTGGGTCAATTTAGCAACGTTCACATTCATTTTCAGTTAACCTCACAAATTATTTTCTCAAACTGCATTAATTTCCACACTAAATGCCTTGAATAAGTAACTTTTGACCCTGTTCCATTTCTAAAGTTGTCAGTCTAGGAAATGTATGTCTCATTTTTCAGGCCACCTGGCAGATTTCGAAACACAACGATACTTACCAGTGGGCCGGCACTTGCTATATTTCTCGACCTGAAGGTGGCATTTGATTCTGTTAACCCTGAAGTGTTTTGACAATGTTTTACTGTGAAGGAGATAGTGAGTAGGTGTATAATGCTAATCAAAGGCTTATGGGGGGCTGTCATCAAAATTGACAACAGCCAGTGGTGTCCTCCAGGGATGCTCACTGTCACCATTTTGATTTAGCCTCGTCATAGACATACTAGTGGACATAACCTTTGGTAAGTATGACTTCACAGGGATTGATCTACTTCCTGGAGGTCATCTGGTTCACTTGCAGTATCCAATTGATATTGTCCTGCTAGGTGAAAATGCTGACAAAATACAACGTGTTCCGAACGTGTTGAGCAGGAGTTTGTGTATGTTTGGCATGCGTTTCTCACCTGTAAAATATAATATTATTATTATTAAAAGCTGCTTTAATCCAAACAGTACAATATGGGATTCTCAGCATGCACTAGTTAAATAAATTCACTTTCTGCACAATATGTTAAAGAGAAGTAATCATTACATTTGTACAAAGTTAACAATGATAGTAATAAAAGTCATAATTTGAAACAGGCATGTACCATTAAATTAGCATCTCGTTTGGACTGGTAAATAAATAAAAATTCAAAAGTCATTTTGGTCTAGATTTATTCTGACAGCACCAAAACCTTCAATTCCACATAGTTATTCAAGGAACAGTAACGTACTGTATTTCTATGCATTTATAAGCCCATCTCTTATCTGCACATCATTTCTTCTTTGTCAGCTGGAAAAATAGTAGTTTGAAGCCATTTAAAAAGTGTACAAGAGTGCATGTTGCATCTAAAAGATAGATTTAAAGATATTAAAACAAATTGAAAAGAAGGAATTTGATGTAATATATTCGGTGGAAACTTTTCCCGTATCCCAAACTTTAAGCAGACCACGACTGGTCTGCAACTACTCCATGGCTACTGATAGTGAGTGTGTCGACTATTTCAGTTACTTTGAGAGTTGCGTCGAGTCGAACGGGGTGGTTGCTAACTAAATCGCGTCTGCGATACAGAAGGCCAGTTTAGCATTTGCCAACTTGTGTTGCCTGTGGCATCAAATATCTATCAAAGGATGAATATTCTACTTAGCAGTTCGCTCTGTCTTGTTTTACGGCTGTGAGAAATGGCCGTTGAAAGTAGAAGATATGAAACGATTACAGGGTTGTGATCACAAATGTCTTCATAGCATTTGCTGGAATCAGCATGTGAGCAACAGTGAGGTCAGGGGAATGTTACTAGGTACAACAGACAAATCGACTGATTAGGTTGTGAACCTTAGTCGACTGAGTCAGCTTGAACATTTACTGTGCATACCAAGCCACCGCTTACCTCAAGGCATAATGCTAGTGGAAGTTGGATTGGGTTGAAAGAAGGTTCAGGGTATCTGGACCAAGTTACATACTACTGACCTGAGCTATGTGAGATGATCTAGACTACGAGGCTGGGATCTGCCAGATGATAGAAAACAGTGGGTGAGGATTCTTGGTGGCATGGCTGAAAATCGGTCACAGTGGCGTAGATGTATTTACTCAGTGACGTCTTTTAAAGTTTGAATGTTCGCACTAATCGTCATCTTTTAATTGTTTATTTCGTCACGTAATTTCGTCTACATTGATATCACTCGTTTTCTATCCACCTGTTCTTTGTATGCTACTGCAATGTATGGCAACTTGAGTGGATGCAGTTGCGTGCGCGGCTTAATGCTGACTTTGTTTATCTGTACCTGTCATATATACGCAACCTTGAGACTTTATCATTCCTCTACGACCTCAGGCTTATTATTTGTAAATATTTAATTAGATTTGGACTACCATAAGAAACCTTCAGATCACAAGAATTTGCAACGTTTGTTTAAATACTTTACCGTAATCCACGTCATACCTACTGGTGTGGCCGCACTGATTAAATGCAGATGTTTACCATAAACGCAGAATGATCGCAGATACTCCCTGTTGACGAGTTCCAATAAGCCTGAAACATACGTTTACCGCAGCCCTCCGATCAACTTCCAAGACCCAACAGAGAAATATCATGGCGCGCAGTAGCATGTGAGTCAGCCTAACGGTCACATTGCGAATTTGATCAACATAATAAGATCACTGCTAGTCTCCAAGGTCTAGGTAACTAGACAGGTTGATCACTGGAAAATAGTGAGCGCAGAGTGGGTAAAGCATAATCTTGTACAGCATTAGACTTCATAATGAACAAAGTAGTTTCTCCAATGAAACATTTGCTATTCATATTCTATTAGCATTAGTGTTAGAATCAGAAGTATTCACCTTATGAAAAACTGAGAATGTTTTTAAACCTCTTCAGTTATTCTGTATTCTTTGGATATTGTTTAACAAATCAATACTGGAGTAAAAATTGGGCACTGTGGCAGATTGTAATTCCATTTTAGTTTGTGTATTAGAAATGTAACACAGTGAAATATTATCGTTTACTGTTCATATCACCTTATATGGATAGGGACAATAAATTATGTCCGAAACGTTATCCAGCAAATGATACTGTTTCACTGTGTGACATTTCCAATACACAAACTAAAATGCTTAACAAATCCTTGATTTAATTTCACCATTACTTCTTCTATACGCAAAAGTATCTTCCAAGTGAGGGTTCAAAATAGGTTTCCAGCCACTATGATATTATCATCCTTTACTACTAAAAGAAAACATGTTTGAAAGATTTTTTCTCGCCATGTATTCAATTTTTACTGCGACACTCATTTACAGGAGGATTAACAAGGTGGTACGCAGTTTAAATCTTCATGACCAACAGGCTAGTACTTAAATATGCTTCACATGTCCAGTTCTTTATACTCTCATGAATCCCAAATCGCAACTATTCACAAACATTTTTTCACTATCCAAGTTAATGAATAAACCCAAAACAGGAAGTGTAATTGCTTAATTTTTACTCTAACTAAAATTCTGAAGATTATACTCAAAGTGAGAATTCGATACACATCCGGTAGGCAGAATCGCAGGCATTCTTGTTGACTACTAAATAATCTACATTTGTATTCCTATTTTTCAATTTAATTAGCAAAAATGAGAGAGAAAAAACTATGCCAAATAATGTTTGTTATGCTAATATACTCGCCTTCATTCCGGTCATAGTTATTGTATATTTCAACTTTATTTGAAGTAATCTATATGTGTGTATACCCAAAGCGAAGATTGCTGTTACTAATTAATGACCAACTCACTACAGAGAGAGAGAGAGAGAAATATTTTGTAAAGATAGAAGAACAAGCGAAAAGTGAAATTTCACATTCTTGATCTTCCACTCAAATAAGACAATAAACACCCAGTGATCGCTGGTTCGAATCCGGCCGTGGTCCATATTTTCATTTCAACTTCAATCATCACCCAGTACAAACACCTTTTTAATGAAGCAATTTTTATGATAATTCGATGTAGGTGGAATCATGAGTTTCCATGAGATTTAGAAGGGGTTAAGAAAGATTTCTTTTATTGTTCACTGACATCAACTTGATCGAATTTATATACATCAACAGTGCAATTTCATATTGAAATATACAAGTGTTTGAAGTGATTTAATGAAGTACAACCTTTCAACTGAGTTGTAATGCCAAGAAAGTTGTTTCTCAGTGAAGAAAGAAGAAAGATTTCAGTATCTCACTCAAACCTCTTACTCATACTTATGAAAATATCGAGTTCACCATGGAAGAGAAAAGTAATGATCAGTTCAGTGTTTTAGATATCACCTTGTAAAGTAGAAGTTATGGTACTGTCTAAAGGTTGAAAGATCCCATAAAACAGAGAATATCTAAATTTCAACAGGTTCTATTCGGTCAGTTTTAAACAACCATTGGTTAAAACACCTTTTATAGGGTTGGAAGGATATATTGAAGTTAGGAATCCGAAGAATTATTGAGCACTGAAAAGTTTCTACGAGTATATGATTACACTCAGAAGCTTATCCATTAATCTGGAAAACTTAAAGACAATAAATTAAGGCGATTTCCACTTA